GTCTCACAGACTTTTCTGCCCTAGCTGGCTTTGAACCGTGATCCTCAGATCTCAGCCTCCTTAGTAGCTAGGATTATAGGCATGAGCCACTGGCACCTGGCTCAAGATTATTTTTCACATGGGTGGTGCTCTACCATCTGAGGCATGCCTCCACTTCCAGTTCTCTGCAGGTTAACTGGAGAAAAGTCTCTCAAATTTGTCTGCTTGGATGGCTCTGAACCTGGATTATCAGCTCTCAGCTTTCTGAGTAGTTGGAATATGTAGGAATTATTCCCTATATATTTTGAAATTTTTTACCTAGAATTTGATATAACAAAATCTATGAATGAGAACAGTGCCCATATGGAACCATGTAAATAAATTACTGAGAAGTATATTTTATTTATTCTTTTACCAAATATAAAACAGAACACAAATTTGAAATCAAAGGCTGGGCATGGTGGTGCACTTGGGAAGTAAAGCCGTGGGTCATGAGTTCTAAGGTCGGTTATGGTTACATAGTTAAGTTTGTGGCCAGCCTTGGCTATATATTAAGACTTTGACAAGACAGAGAAAAATAAGACATTGACAAGAGAGAGATGAGAGGAAGAAGAAAGAAGGAGGGAAAGAGGAGAGGGAGGGAGGGAGGGAGGGGGGAGGGAGGGAGGCAGGCAGGAAGGAAGGAAGGAAAAGAGAGGGAAGGGAAAGAAAGAGGAAGAGATGAAGGGAGGAAGACAGAAAAGGAAAGAATAGGAAAAAAAGAAATCCAAGTGTTTGCTAACAGAAATTCAAGTGTGTGCAATGCTCAATAGGAAATGTACTCATTACCTTATTCATGTAACTATAATCCCTCTTTACAGTACTTTTACAATAAAAAATATATATTTTTAAAAAGTAGGAATATAGTTCAGTCGCATGCCTCGAAGTGCTGCAAGAGAAAAATAAATATATCAAAACAGAAACACTGAGTAAAGTATATGGGATAAATATTGTTCTTCTATCTCCTTGCCTGGCTTTTCTACAGACTTCAACGTGGGACAGTTGTGAATATAGGGGAGACTGAAGAAGAACTTAAGTCAGCGGAGTGCTGTTGGGCTTTGAGACCCTGCTGGAAAATAGGCAATGAGTCAAATCTACAATTAATACAATTACAGGGTTGACGAATGTCCAGCCTATGGGCTATACAATACCTGTGAAATAATCACTAGTAGGACAGGAAAGACACAATCTCATTGGCTGCATGGCCCATCTGCCTGTACTAATAATGGCCTGCAATTTTGATGGGTTTGTTTTTGTTTTATTTTTTGCTAGTTTGTTTGGTGGGGGGAGGGAGGTTCTGGGGTTTGAACTCAGGGCCTGGGCACTGTCCTTGAACATTCTGATCAAGGCTAGCACTCTACCACTTCTGATTTTCTGCTGGTTACTTGGAGATAAGACTCTCACAGACTTCCTGCCTGGCTGGCTTTGAACTACAATACTCAGATCTCAGCCTTTCTGAGTCACTGGAATTATAGGTGTGAGCCATCAATGCCCAGTCAAATTATGTTTTTAGTTTTGTTTTGTGCTTGAACTTAGATCTTAAGGCTGAGATCTGAGAATCAAGATTTGAAGCTAGCCTAAGAGGACAAATCCTCAAGATTCTTATCTTCAATTAGCCAGCACAAAGCCAGAACTGGAGGTGTGGCTCAAGTGGTCAAGCACCAGCCTTAAATGAAAAAGCCAAGTGAGGGCTGGGAAGTTGGCTCACTGGTAGAGTGCTTGCCTTGCATGCTTGAGGCCCTGGTTTGATTCCTCAGCACCACATAAACAAAAAGAAAAAAGCCGGAAGTGGTGCTGTGGCTCAAGTGGTGGAATGTAGCCTTGAGCTGAAGAGCTGAGGGACAGCGCCCAGGCCCGAAGTTCAGACCCACAACTAGACCCCCCCCCCCCAAAAAAAAAGAAAGAAAAGCCAAGTGAGTGAGGCTCCTTAGGGATCAAGCCCCAGTACTGGCACATAACACTGACTGACTGACAGACAGACCAAGAGACGATTGATAGATAGATAGACTCACATTCGACCACACACTCACACACTCTCTTCTCTCCCTCAAGGAATCTATTACTTGTCAGGAAGCAAGTACTTGTTCCCTAACCTTCAATTTATACTAATAGTATTACTTTAATGCTTCAATCACTTGAAAACAAATGGAGCAAGTGTATCAAGCCAGGTGAGATGACTCAAATCTGTAATACCAGCTATGTGCATGGGGGAATCTCAGTTCAAGACTGACCAAGGCAAAAAAGTTTTCAGGCCAGACACCGGTGGCTCACGCCTATAATCCTAGCTACTCAGGAGGCTGCGATGTGAGGATCACAGTTCAAAGCCAGCCCGGGCAGGAAAGTCTGAGTGACTCTTATCTCCAATAAACCACTAGAAAACCGGAAGTGGCGCTGTGGCTCAAGCGGTAGAGCGCTCGCCTTGAGCTGAAGAGCACAAGGACAGCACCCAAGCCCAGAGTTCAAGCCCCACGACTGGAAAAAAAAAAAAAGAAAAGAAAAGAACAGAACCAACACAAAAAGGGACGATGGAGTGACACAAGTGAAAGAGTGCTTGCCTATCAAAAAAAAAAAAGGAAAAGCAATTAAATCTGATAGGTATGTATGTTTAAGAAGTATACATTTTAGGGGCTGGGAAGGTGGCTCAGAGGTAGAGCGCTTGCCTTGCATGCATGAGGCCCTGGGTTCGATACCTCAGCACCACAGAAGCAGAAAAAAAAAAGGCAGAAGTGGTGCTGTGGCTCAAGTGGTAGAGCTCTAGCCTTGAGCTGAAGAGCTGAGGGACAGCGCCCAGGCCCAGAGTTCAGGCCCCACGACCGGACCCAAAAAAAAAAAAAAAAAGAAGTATACATTTTTGTATCTGCAGGAATTTTCCATGACATTTGTATTAGATTTGACAAAGAGATGTTGGGGATATCTCTGATGTGCAGGAGGCCCCGAGTTCAATCCCTAGCTCCATGACACAATAAAGAAAACTGGAGTCGGACGCTGGTGGCTCACGCCTGTAATCCTAGCTACTCAGGAGGCTGAGATCTGAGGATCGCGGTTCAAAGCCAGCCCGGGCAGGAGAGACCGTGAGACTCCTATCTCCAATAAACCACCAGAAAACCGGAAGTGGCGCTGTAGCTCAAGTGGTAGAGCGCTCGCCTTGAGCTGAAGAGCTGAGAGACAGCGCCCAGGCCCAGAGTTCAAGCCCCACGGCCGACCAAAAAAAAAAAAAAAGAAAACTGGAGAAAGGGGTCAGTGGGGATGGAGTTGTGGGAGGGGAGAAGATTAAGGATTTATTCCTATGGAGTAGAGATATCCTCCTCATAGAAAACATTTTTTTTTTTTTTGGGGGTCCGGTCATGGAGCCTGGGCGCTGTCCCTCAGCTCTTCAGCTCAAGGCTAGCTCTGTACAACTTGAGCCACAGCGCCATTTCCGGCTTTTTTCTTTTTGCTTATGTGGTGCTGAGGAATCGAACCCAGGGCCTCATGCATGCAAGGCAAGCGCTCTACCACTGAGCCACCTTCCCAGCCCAGAAAACATTTCTTAACTATATTAATTTGGTGGAACTGTGTGTGTGTGTGTGAGAGAGAGAGAGAGAGAAAGAGAAAGAGAGGAGGGACCGAGGGGCTAAACTCAGCCTGAGTGCTGTCCCTTAGCTTTTCACTCAAGGCTAACACTGTACCTCTGGAACCATACTGCACTTCTGGCTATTAACTGAAGATTAAGTGTCTTATGGAGGCTGGGAACCTGGCTTAGTGGGTAGAGCGCTGCCTATCACGCATGAAGCCCTGGATTCAATTCCTCAGTTCCACATAAACAGAAAAAAGGCGGAAGGGGCACTATGGCTCAAGTGTTGGTAGAGTGCTAGCCTTGAGCAAAAAAAAGCTCAGAGACGGTGCCCAGGCCTCAAGATTGGCAAAAAACAAAAAAAAGTCTTATGGAGTTTCCTGCCCAGGCTGGCTTCTAACCACAACCATTAGATCATAGCCTCTTGAGTAACCGGAACTATTATAGGTGTCAGCCATTGGTGCCCAGAAACTTCGTGGAATTTTTTTTTTTTTGGGTCGGGTCGTGGGACATGAACTCTGGGCCTGGGTGCTGTCCCTCAGCTCTTCAGCTCAAGGCTAGTGCTCTACCACTTGAGCCACAGCGCCACTTTCCGGCTTTTTCTTTTTGCTTATGTAGTGCTGAGGAATCGAACCCAGGGCCTCATGCATGCAAGGCAAGCGCTCTACCACTTAGCCACCTTCCCAGCCCCTTGGTGGAATTTTTTTATAGCCCACTTCCAGGATCCCAGACAGAATTGACTCAGTTAACAGGGTTAGAGGGGCAGAGCTTGAATGCATTCAGGGAGAGAGAACTTCTGGCACCCAGGCCCAATAAGGCCCACAAGGACAAGTATGCTTCGCATAGACTGTTCCTGGCTGGTTGTCTGCCCTCATCATTTTTGTGTGGCCTGAGAATGATGTTATAAATATCCAAAATTTCTACACATTGAAGCTAGCTCAAAGAGGCTGAGATCCAAGAATCATGGTTTGAAGGCAGCAGCCCCAGGCAAAAACATCCGGGAGCCTCTTATCTCCAATTAACCAGCAAAAACCCAGAAGCGGAGCTGTGGCTCCAGTGATAGAGTTCTAGCTTTGAAGGTAAATTTTAATTGGCAGTGCTCAGGCCGGCCCTGCGGCCAAGTCCCAGTGCTGGCACACAGAACATAATAATAATGTGTATGGCATCTGAATTCCTCCAAAGCAGCGTCTTGAGAGTAGCTGGCCATCGGTGTGGGTTGGCTTGTACGAAAGAGGTGTAGAAAAATAAACCAACACCCGCCCTCCTACTTCCGATTAGAACTGTGTCTAATTATGATTAAAGTCTGAGTTACTTCTGAAGAGAAGCAAGCTGGGGATGTGTGGGACGCCGGGGAGGCTGGGCGTGGGGGCGATGAGGAAAGAGGGCGCAGCGCCACAGGTCGGGGCGCACCCGCGCCAGGCCGGCTCACCTTCACGCGCTCGTAGTAGCTGCCAGTGCGTAGCAGGGTGACGCCTTTAAACTCGGACTCGCGGTCCTGCAGCCTCCGAAGTAGGCGATCCACTACCTTGTTCACGACCACGGCGGCCGCCGAGATTTGCTGGCGGTTCAGCTTCAGCCTGTCCAGCACGGGCCGGGGATTCCAGCCACCTGGCGGCGCCTCGGTCCGGCGGGAACGCGGGACCTGGACCCGCGCGCCGGGGCCCGGCTCCTCCGGGGACGCGGGCGTGGTTCGGGAACACGGCTCCGCGGGGCCCGGATCCCGCGTGGAGCGCGCAGCTCCCGATCGCCGAGAGCCGGCCCTGGCGAGGGGCAGATCGGGGGCGGCTGGGTGCTCCGGACCGTCCACGCTGGGCGCGCGCGGCAGCGGCGCCCCGTCCACGGTCCGAGGCGCCTTCGCCGGGCAGGCTCGCGGGGCGCGCGGCGGCCGCGGCTTCTGGGGGGTCCGGGCGCCCCGGGTCTGCCGAGGTCGCGACGCCCCAGCGTGGCTGCTGCGGTCCGCGGCGGGCTGGGCCGCCCGGGATGCGGGCGCAGGCTCGCAGGGCTCCATCTGGGTGCCCGACGGGTCCGGCTCCGAAACCCGGGAGGTGGCAGGTCCGGCCTTGGAAGGTTTCCGGGGAGCCTTTCCGCACTTGCGGTCCATGTCTGGCCTTGTCTGTTCCCGAATGGACGGTCGGCCGTGGGAAGAGGAACTCGCGACGGCAGCTGAAAATGAAACTTAAAAAAGTGGCGCGAAGACGGCGGGCGAGGCTTGGAAGCTGGCACGAGCGGGAATTCGGAGGCCCCGCCCCGCCGAGGCCCCGCCCCGCCGAGGCCCCGCCCCGCCGAGGCCCCGCCCTCGCCGCCGAGGCCCCGCCCTCGCCGCCGAGGCCCCGCCCCTCCGGGAGAACTGGTCTCCGCACCTACCCAGTCCCCTTTCCCTCCCGAGCTACCAGCGGTGCTGGGGCCTGGGAGCCATGTGCACATAACGCCAGAGGAGGAGAACACGGTTGAGTGCCTTCCTGGGCAGACGTGTTGGCAGACCACCTAAGATTGCTTTTGGAAAGCTGTCTACTGTATTTGAAATCGGCACTGAAAACCTTCCCACTGTGGGTTTTAGTAAGGGGTTGTTATGGTTCTTTTATTTTTTATTTCTTTATGGTTACCACACAGGTGATGTGCAGTGGGATTACAGTTACATAAGTCAAGTAATAGTAAATTTTCCCTCTCTTCCTTGCTGCTGTTAATGGGAAATACAATATATTAGAACTTTGTAAGATAGAATGAGACAGATAGATACTGGTGGCTCGCATTTGCTATCCTAGCTACTCAGGAGGCTAAGATCTGAGGATCACACTTCAAACTTCTCCTGGGCAGGGAAGTCCAATTAGCCACCAAAAAGTATTGGAGTCCATGAGAATCTTATCTTCAGTTAACCACCAAGAAAGTCAGAAGTGAAGCCGAGCACTGGTGGCTCACACCTATAATCCTAGCTACTCAGGAGGCTGAGATCTGTGGGTCACAGTTCAAAGCCAGCCGAGGCAGGAAAGTCCATGATACTTTTATCTCCAATTAACTACCAGAAAACTGGAAGTGGTGCTGTGGCTCAACTGGTAGAGTGCTTGCCTTGAGCTTAAGAGTTGAGGGACAGCGTCCAGGCCCAGAGTTCAAGCCCCACGACAGACCAAAGAAAAGAAAGAAGTGGAGCTGTGACTCAAGTAGTAGAATGCCAGCCTTGGGCAGAAAAACCTCAGGGACAGCACCTGAGTTCAAGCCCCAGTTTCAGTACAAAAGTAAAAATATGGGGCTGGGAATGTGGCTTAGTGGTAGAGTGCTTGCCTAGCATACATGAGGCCCTGGGTTCGATTCCTCAGTATCACATAAACAGTAAAAGGTGGAAGTGTTGCTGTGGTTCAAGTGGTAGAGTGCCTTGAGCAAAAAGCAGCTCAGGCACTGTGTCCAAGCCTTGAGCAAGCCCTATGACTGGCAAAAAAAAAGTAAAACATAGAATGAGATGAGAATTACCTAATCAGATTAAGTATTTCACTTTCACTTTAGAAAAAAAAAGATCTTAAAGTTCCTACTTAGGCGTTTTATCCTTCCTTTTCTAAAGCCATCGAAAATGACACTAGGGCCAGTCAGGGGTGTGACTCAAGTGGTAAAAGGCCAGTCCCCCCACCCCTCCAAAAAAGGAAAGAAAGAAAAAGGAAAGAGGGACCCACTTCTGTAATCTTAACTATCTGGGAGGCTGAGACCTAAGGAAAATGATTCCAAGCCAACTCAGGTAGACTTTTATCTCCAATTGCTGGACGTGAAGGAGTGGCTAAAGTTGTAGAGCACCATCCTTGAGTGGAGAGTAGGAATCCCAGTATAGGACCAAAAGAGAAGACAGCAGGGGAGGGGAGGAAGGAAAATGAAAGAAAGGAAGGGGAAGGAAGGGAGGGAGAGAGAGAAAAAAAGAGACGAGAAGACAGAAATAAAGTGGAGTGGCTTACAGTTTAAATTACAAAAACTGCTTCAGCTGTTAGATTCTGGAGCCTGTCAATACCGACTTCAAAGTCAAGCTTTTATAACAATGCCTGCTCTATTAGGAGTTGTCCTTACAATTTGCCTTGTGAAGTTAAAATGTGTTTGTGACTCTAAGTATCACTATTCCACAATACTGTGAAATTTATGTAATCACCTAATCTCAATTTTAAAAAAAAAGTGAGAGAAAGGATGGATTAAGAGAGATGGGTGAGGGGCTGGGAAGGTGGCTCAGTGGTAGAGCGCTTGCCTTGCATGCATGAGGCTCTAGGTTTGATTCCTCAGCACCACATAAGCAGAAGAAAAAAAAAAGCCAGAAGTGGCACTGTGGCTCAAGTGGTAGAGTGCTAGCCTTGAGCTGAAGAGCTGAGGGACAGCACCCTGGCCCAGAGTTCAGGCCCACAACCAGCCCCCCCCCCCAAAAAAAAGAGAGAGATGGGTGACAATGTTGTCAGACACTTTGTGCTCATATATTGTTTTGTAGAATGGGAACTTCTTTGTACAACTACTTAAAGATAATTTAAAAATAAAATTAAAAATTAAAAAATTTTTAAAAATTTAAAAAAGGAGTTGTCCTTAGCAGCATTATTTTGCATCCCCTTCCAATGCCTGGCATTCTAAATCCTAAAGAATAGCCACACCTATATAATTACAAAATAAACTTTCTTTTTTTGTCAGTCATGGGGCTTGAACTCTGGGCCTGGGCGCTGTCCCTCAACGCTTAAGCTCAAGGAGAGTGCTCTACCACTTGAGTCACAGCACCACTTCCGGTTTTCTAGTGGTTTATTGGAGATAAGCATCTCACAGACTTTCCTGCCCTGGCTGGCTTTGAACTGTGATTCTCAGATCTCAGCCTCCTGACTAGCTAGGATTACAGGTGTGAGCCACCCGTGCTCGGCTAAACTTTTTTTAAAGTTCAAACCAGAACAGAACTCTGTGACCTTTAGCTAACTTGCAGGAAGGTGTAGGGAATTTCCAGCCAGTGGCAGGATAACCTGGATTGTATGTACTGTATGGTCCATCATTGATGTTATAAATATCCAAGTGATTTTTAGCACACACAAAAAAAGTTTCCACAGCCCAGAATATGTAACTTCTCTCCTTATTCCTTATGTATGTAAATGGATGGGATTTTTAACTTGCAGAAAAGTTTTTGGGCTGGGAGCTGGTGGCTCACATCTCTAATCCTAGCTATTCAGGCAACTGAGATCTGTGGATAGTAGTTTAAAGCCAGCCCAGGCAGGAAAGTCCAGGAGACACCTACTTCCACTTAATCATCAAAAGGCCATAAATGGAGCTGTAGCTCAAGTGTAGAGCTAACTTTGAGCAAAAAAACTGCTGGGATCATACCCAAGCACTGAGTTCATCACAAAAACAGTGTTTATTAAATAGTTGTACAAAGGAGTTTCAATTCAACCTACCAGTTTATGAGTACAATCTTGATTAGTGTCATACCTTCCATCATTCCCCCTCTTAGTCCTACCCACACCCTCATTACTTGGTTCCATTTTCACATATGTACTGAATACTTTGTTTTTTTTTTTTTGGGTCCGGTTGTGGGGCCTGAACTCTGGGCCTGGGCACTGTCCCTCAGCTCTTCAGCTCAAGGCTAGCACTCTACCACTTGAGCCACAGCGCCACTTCCGGCTTTTTTCTTTTTTCTTATATGGTGCTGAGGAATTGAACCCAGGGCCTCATGCATGCAAGGCAAGCATTCTACCACTGAGCCACCTTCCCAGCCCCTATACTGAATACTTTGACTACATTTGTCCACCCTTCTCTCCATTCCTCTGCCCTTCCTTCTCTTTGATCTCCTCCCGTGAAAAAATATGCTTCGGATTCCTGGTATTCATTTTGTTATATCTCCCCTAAGTATACCTACTTTAGTCAATCTGTGAATATGTTTTCATGTATGCTTATAATTTTTATCGAACTTCCCCATATGAGAGAAAACATGAATCCTTTATCTCTCAGAGCCTGACTTACTTAACATAATTTTTTCAGGTTCATCCATTTTTCTACAATTGACATAATATTGTTCCTGATGGATTGGCAAAGTTCCATTATGTGTATAATTTTATTAATATATATCAATATACTTATATATCATTGACTATAATATAATATTAATGTATTACATATAATATATACTAAGATAATGTTATATGTATTGATCTATTAGTTGTTGTGATTATATCAATTAACAAATTATATATTAATCTATATAATATAGATCAATTGATAAATATATACTAATTAATAAATTATATTAATAAAATATATTGATTGGTTATATTAATATATACATATATAAGTGTATGCATGCATATATGTATGTGTGTTATATCACCTTTTAAATTTTATATATATGTATTTTTTAGGGTTTTTTTTTGTCAGTCATGCAGCTTCAACTATGGGCCTGGGCGCTGTACCTCAGCTCTTCAGCTCAAGATGAGCGCTCTACCACTTGAGCTACAGTACCAATTCTGGTTTTCTGGTGGTTTATTAAAGATATGATCCACCAGTTCCTAGCCATTATTTTCAAAATTTTTTAAAAGAAATTTTCAACATAAAAAGTTAGGAGCTGAGGGCTGGGAAGGTGGCTCAGTGGTAGAGCGCTTGCCTTGCATGCATGAGGCCCTGGGTTCAATTCCTCAGCACCACAGAAGCAAAAAAAAAAAAAAGTTAGGAACTGGGCACTAGTGGCTCACACCTGTAATCCTAGCTACTCAGGAGGTTGTGATCTGAGGATCCCGGTTCAAAGCCAGCCCTGGCAGGAAAGTCTGTGAGACTCATCTCCAATTAACCACCAGAAAACTGGAAGTGGAGCTGTGATTTGACTGGTAGAGTGCTAGCCTTGAGCTGAAGAGCTGAGGGACAGCGTCCAGGCCCAGAGTTCAAGCTCCATGACTGATTAAAAAAAAAAAAAAGTGGGGGAGGGGTTTGGGGAGGAATCTTGTTGCTGGTGCCTCATGCCTGTAATCCTAGCTGCTAGAGAGGTTGAGATTTGGAGATTGCCATTCAAAGCCAGCTCAGGCAGGAAGGTCCATGAGACTCTTATCTCCAGTTCACCACCACCACCACAAAATGGTTAAGTGGAGATGCAGCTCAAAATAATAGAGCACTAAAATTGAGCAA